AATGCCTGTGTCCAATGAAACTTGGGGAGGAGGGCTANCTCCTTCAGACTTAGCTAGCTGGACCTCTTGGAGTTTGGCCCTTGGGCTTGTAACATGAGTTGGACCTTTGAGCTTGACCCATCAATTATCATACGACAATTTGCGTAGATTGTATTTGGCATTAATTTCCAATGCCTGTGTCCAATGAAACTTGGAGAGGAGGGCTGTTGTCTGAATTTGATATTGACAATTTATGTGCAAGCATACACGATCAACAAGTAATAAAGTGATAAGTAAAGTATCGTTCCCATGGAGAATTATTACTAAAAATATCTAAGTACTAACTTTATATCAATTCAATTTTATTTAAACAATTAGAATTGACAAAGAAATCACAACTTTAAAACTAAATCTAAACCTAATAATCAAGGGTTGAATTTACCGGATAAAAGAAGTTAAAATTACAACTTCCCCTAATGTTTCGTATAAATCTTTCCACTTTCTTTCCAGTTAATTGATAAAAATAAGTCNTTACCGGATAAAAGAAGTTAAAATTACAACTTCCCCTAATGTTTCGTATAAATCTTTTCACTTTCTTTCCAGTTAATTGATAAAAATAAGTTGTTAACTGAGAACTCAAAGTTATTTATCAAACCTCTTTCGATAGTTAGATAAAATTATCTCTCCCAATTAAATTACTATATTCCTATGCAAAATAAGTTGGAATATATTCATTAAGTTCAAACTCTCATAAAAGTTACACACAGCATATAGGTATATTCTTATCCTATACACAAACCAAGCTATTCAATACTAAGAAAGACCTCCTTNATTCCTATGCAAAATAAGTTGGAATAGATTCATTAAGTTCAAATTCTCATAAAAGTTACACACGGCATATAAGTATATTCTTATCCTATACACAAACCAAGCTATTCAATACTAAGAAAGACCTCCTCGTTAAAACGAGTGAGGTAGCTCATCAAGCTCTCGTCTCGATCCTACTTTATGTTGTGCAAGTGGGGTAGCAGGCTTTTGGTGGCGGCATTCTCCAATAAAGTGTGACACAAAGGACCTGCTCAGCTCAGTGAACGAGCCAATGGAGGCTGGGGAGAGCTTGGCGAACCATTGCCGAGTAGATCCCTTGAAGGTGGTTGAGAACACTCTACACATAATTTCGTCGGGGACGTTGTGCAGCTACATTAAGGTCTTAAAAGTTTCGAGGTGGTCCAGTGGATCCTTTATACTATCAAAGGTTTCGACGGATGACATCTTGAATTTTTGAGGGAGTGGGTAGTTCACCACGTTAGGTTTGAAAGGTGTGTCAGTTCAACTTATGAGGTCATCTACTGTCTCGGGTCCTTGTACCTTCATGACGTTGAATACATCACTCAATTGATTTTGCACCTCCTTAATATTTTCGTCTTAGTGATTGGAAAGAGGTACTCTGAAATTATCACAGACATAACTCTCATGCTCCATACTTTGGTTTTTCACCCTCATCCTCTTGGAAAGGAGAGTCTCCACCATGGGGAGCAGGTAAGGGGGCTGGAGGAAGAGGTCCCTTATGATGGGGGCCCCTGTGTGGGGCACCTAAGGGGGTTCCCATAGATGGGGCGCCCCCTAGATTGGGAGCTCCTTGATGACCTAGGAGNATTGGAAAGAGGTACTCTGAAATTATCACAGACATAACTCTCATGCTCCATACTTTGGTTTTTCACCCTCATCCTCTTGGAAAGGAGGGTCTCCACCATGGGGAGCAGGTATAGGGGCTGGAGGAAGAGGTCCCTTATGATGGGGGCCCCTGTGTGGGGCACCTAAGGGGGTTCCCGTAGATGGGGCGCCCTCTAGATTGGGAGCTCCTTGATGACCTAGGAGTGAAACTCCCTTGACTTGAGGTCTAGGTTGTGCTCCTTCTTGTTATCCGAGTATCAATTGCAGAATTTGCTGGTTCTGGACTATAAACTGTTGCATTATATCCAGCATCTGCTTCACATTTGGGACGGGGATTGACAGGTGGAGGAGTAACCTTCTCCTCTCGTGGTGGAATGTTTTCAGGCTGACTCATGGATCCCGGTGATGATCGCCTTTGATTCAGTAAAGAAAGTGTTTATGTGGGAATTATGTCGTTCCCACAGATGGTGCCAAACTGATGATGCACAAAATTCGTTTACACACCACCTGTCAATTAAGTAATATAAAATGCAATAAAGTAGAGGGAGAGAGAAGACAAAGTTTATAGTGGTTCGGTCAATATGACCTACGTCCACTTTGAATGGCAAGGGTCGCCGGAATTTTATTGTCTCTGGTGTGGAGGGAGAGCACAGGATTACAAGCTTTGAGAGGGGAAGATAGAATTATGCTCAAATGAGTCTGATGCCCCCCAAGTGTTGGTGGGACTTACAATTTATAGTGGCTTAGTATAGTAATTGTTTGCTAGTCTAGCGGTCATAACGGGTTGGAGCCGTTTAATAGTCATAACGGATTGGGGTGACTTTAACGGGGAAGGAAGTTATAATGTTCTCCAAAGGACTTAGTCAAAGGGTGAGGGAATGTTGACTCTTTCCGAGGGGTAAGGGTGAGACTCCTGGATACTCGCTTACTCCAAGGTGGAAGATGAGACTCTTGGATAACCCTTACTTCAAAGTGATAGATGAGGCTCTTGGATGACCCTTACACCAAGGTGGTAGAAGAGGCTCTTGGATGAGTTCTTAGACGACCCTGCGTGCTCTTCTACTAGTGTAACTCCTGGAACCTGATGAGCTTGACCGGGTGCAGACTCCTTTGAGTTTAGCTAGCTGGACCTCTTGGAGTTGGGCCCTTAGACTTGTAACAAGAGTTGGGTCGTTAGGCTTGGCCCATCGCCCATCAATTATCATACGGCAATTTGCGTAGATTGTATTAGGCATTAATTTCCCATCAAGGATAATTTTCCTACTTTTGCACCGACCCAGGCAGAGGCTTGAAGCAGTTTAGGCATCATGTTGATGCAGAATATCTAATTTCTTCAAATGAAAAAACAAGGTAATTTTGAACGTGGTGGCTAAGATGACATTTTTATATGAAAGTAGGGCTAATTGCCAGATAAATAAAATTTTAACAAAACCTAGAACTGAAGGAAAGTAAAAGTAATTGAAATAAATGGAAAAACGATTCTTATTTTTTTTTCTTTTTGATTTTAACCGTTTTCGGGATTTAAGGTGCTTTGTAGATTAGGTTTGTTTTGGAAGCAGCAAGCAAACTCCAACAATAAAGTGTTTTTTTTAAAGAGAATTATATTGAAACCCACGTGTGACAGTGTCAATACTATCGGAGAAATTAGAATAATTATATATAATTTTACTTAACAAAATAATATTCAGACAAGAATATGAAAATGAATATAAAATAACAATCAATTTATAATAGAATAAAATAAATACTATAATTTAGAAAGAGTTGGCTTGCGAGTCCGAAAATTATGTGAACACTGTCCTAAATAGTTGAGTCTCCCCGCGTGAGGGCATTGACGGACACCAGTGACTCCAAAATCAAACCCAGACACTCGCTGTAGCACATTCTCAATGGTCACGCCCACTGGAAGAAAGAGGTGAACATGACTCGAATCGAAATTGTCCAAAAAATAAACTAATAGATGATACTTGAAAAAGTAGGCCAAGTATAAAAGAATTGAAATAAGCAACTGGAAGGTCTCTAGAGTGTTTATTTCGTTACAAACCAAAAGCTATCTCAAAGCCACTTATATATTTATTAGGTTAGTAACTTACACCCATAGCCTTTAAAATTATTTTTAATATAATTAATTTTTATTCTTTAATATACGCAATAAATTAGATAAAATATGTTACTGAAAATTCAAAACTCAATTAAAAAAAATGTAACTAAAACTATTTAAACTCAATTAAAGTGGATATTCAATGAAAAGTTCTAAAAACTTAATTTAATTCTTACAAATACCACATCAACTGCACAACAATTAGAGCTTAATATATAAAGTTCGAAATAAATTATTTTCAATTTTAATTTTAATTTTTGATTATTTTATAAATCAAACTTGTATATGAATCAAAATTCTAACAGGCTCAAAGGAGAAATGTTGGAACCAAATATACAAATTTTGAAACAAAATACTCTGAACTTAAATTCAAGCTCATGGATTAGGTTTTGGATCTGTTGCACCAAAATTTGTTGTTATCGACAAAGAAAATTTAATCGATAGACAGTTTCAGACAATTATTTATGATGAGTTCAATTGCCTTGTTTTAGGACTTCTTTGGATGAATTTTAAGGGGATAATTACACAGTATAGAGAATTAATAAAAAAAGATTTTTTTTTATTAATTCAGTAGAAAAGATTTCAGTTATAGAAAAGATTGAGTTAACAACATTTATTATAACAATAACTACTTTCTAAAATTAATCTAAAATAACTACTAAAAATACCTAGATCATTGATTTTGTGGAGTTTAAATGTACTTTTTAACTTCTCTGATGTCTACCTTTTATAGTCACTATTTTTTACGGTTCTTAATAACTCTCAAACGGTTGTTTATCCTTTTCAAATAAGGTTGTGGCTCATCATTTCTTGCCTCTTTTTTTCAAAGTTTATCACATGATATCATCTTAATGCCTTTCAGATTTGACAGATGTCACTGCATCGGACATTCCTATAATTTTATATTTTAAAAAAGATCCAATTTGTATTTGAGTCAAGATTCTATCCTCATTTTCTGCTGTGGCAAGATAATGGTGTTAAAAAGCAATAATATTCTTTGCAAATTCAGGAGGTTATGTTGAGTGTGCAATTTTCTAATTCAAACCATGTTGTAATCTCTAAAGTACAATCGAATTTTTCCAACAAAAAATGGGCAGTGATGATAAAAGTTCAAAATCAAGCATCTTACTTATTGCCTAACCCTGTCAGCTCCCACAGTTCACTGAATGCTATAAAAACTATACAGATTTTAGTTAATTTCTCGCTCCAGGACCAACTTCTCAGTAAGTACTAGCTATCACTATTGATGATGGCCGAAGCAAGCTCTCCGCGGTTGGCTATCCCTGTGGTAGTTATAGGCCCACGGTTCTGCACTCCTTCTCCGGTAGATCTGATAATAGTCAAGAAGCCCGTGACCATATCAGAAGGCAACTTGGAGGTCACCGATGTCAAGGGGAAAACCATGTTCTACCTCAAAGGCAAGCTCTTGAGCGTTCCTGACCGCCGTGTCTTGCTTTATGCTAAAGGCAACCCTATCGTCTCACTCCGGCAANAGGGGAAGATAGAATTATGCTCAAATGAGTCTGATGCCCCCCAAGTGTTGGTGGGACTTACAATTTATAGTGGCTTAGTATAGTAATTGTTTGCTAGTCTAGCGGTCATAACGGGTTGGAGCCGTTTAATAGTCATAACGGATTGGGGTGACTTTAACGGGGAAGGAAGTTATAATGTTCTCCAAAGGACTTAGTCAAAGGGTGAGGGAATGTTGACTCTTTCCGAGGGGTAAGGGTGAGACTCCTGGATACTCGCTTACTCCAAGGTGGAAGATGAGACTCTTGGATAACCCTTACTTCAAAGTGATAGATGAGGCTCTTGGATGACCCTTACACCAAGGTGGTAGAAGAGGCTCTTGGATGAGTTCTTAGACGACCCTGCGTGCTCTTCTACTAGTGTAACTCCTGGAACCTGATGAGCTTGACCGGGTGCAGACTCCTTTGAGTTTAGCTAGCTGGACCTCTTGGAGTTGAGCCCTTAGACTTGTAACAAGAGTTGGGTCGTTAGGCTTGGCCCATCGCCCATCAATTATCATACGGCAATTTGCGTAGATTGTATTAGGCATTAATTTCCCATCAAGGATAATTTTCATACTTTTGCACCGACCCAGGCAGAGGCTTGAAGCAGTTTAGGCATCATGTTGATGCAGAATATCTAATTTCTTCAAATGAAAAAACAAGGTAATTTTGAACGTGGTGGCTAAGATGACATTTTTATATGAAAGTAGGGCTAATTGCCAGATAAATAAAATTTTAACAAAACCTAGAACTGAAGGAAAGTAAAAGTAATTGAAATAAATGGAAAAACGATTCTTATTTTTTTTTCTTTTTGATTTTAACCGTTTTCGGGATTTAAGGTGCTTTGTAGATTAGGTTTGTTTTGGAAGCAGCAAGCAAACTCCAACAATAAAGTGTTTTTTTTTTAAAGAGAATTATATTGAAACCCACGTGTGACAGTGTCAATACTATCGGAGAAATTAGAATAATTATATATAATTTTACTTAACAAAATAATATTCAGACAAGAATATGCAAATGAATATCAAATAACAATCAATTTAGAATAGAATAAAATAAATACTATAATTTAGAAAGAGTTGGCTTGCGAGTCCGAAAGTCATGTGAACACTGTCCTAAATAGTTGAGCCTCCCCGCGTGAGGGCATTGACGGACACCAGTGACTCCAAAATCAAACTCAGACACTCGTTGTAGCACATTCTCAATGGTCACGCCCACTGGAAGAAAGAGGTGAACATGACTCGAATCGAAATTGTCCAAAAAATAAACTAATAGATGATACTTGAAAAAGTAGGCCAAGTATAAAAGAATTGAAATAAGCAACTGGAAGGTCTCTAGAGTGTTTATTTCGTTACAAACCAGAAGCTATCTCAAAGCCACTTATATATCTATTAGGTTAGTAACTTACACCCATAGCCTTTAAAACTATTTTTAATATAATTAATTTTTATTCTTTAATATACGCAATAAATTAGATAAAATATGTAACTGAAAATTCAAAACTCAATTAAAAAATATGTAACTAAAACTATTTAAACTCAATTAAAGTGGATATTCAATGAAAAGTTCTAAAAACTTAATTTAATTCTTACAAATACCACATCGACTGCACAACAATTAGAGCTTAATATATAAAGTTCGAAATAAATTATTTTCAATTTTAATTTTAATTTTTGATTTTTTTATAAATCAAACTTGTACATGAATCAAAATTCTAACAGGCTCAAAGGAGAAATGTTGGAACCAAATATACAAATTTTGAAACAAAATACTCTGAACTTAAATTCAAGCTCATGGATTAGGTTTTGGATCTGTTGCACCAAAATTTGTTGTTATCGACAAAGAAAATTTAATCGATAGACAGTTTCAGACAATTATTTATGATGAGTTCAATTGCCTTGTTTTAGGACTTCTTTGGATGAATTTTAAGGGGATAATTACACAGTATAGAGAATTAATAAAAAAAGATTTTTTTTTATTAATTCAGTAGAAAAGATTTCAGTTATAGAAAAGATTGAGTTAACAACATTTATTATAACAATAACTACTTTCTAAAATTAATCTAAAATAACTACTAAAAATACCTAGATCATTGATTTTGTGGAGTTTAAATGTACTTTTTAACTTCTCTGATGTCTACCTTTTATAGTCACTATTTTTTACGGTTCTTAATAACTCTCAAACGGTTGTTTATCCTTTTCAAATAAGGTTGTGGCTCATCATTTCTTGCCTCTTTTTTTCAAAGTTTATCACGTGATATCATCTTAATGCCTTTCAGATTTGACAGATGTCACTGCATCGGACATTCCTATAATTTTATATTTTAAAAAAGATCCAATTTGTATTTGAGTCAAGATTCTATCCTCATTTTCTGCTGTGGCAAGATAATGGTGTTAAAAAGCAATAATATTCTTTGCAAATTCAGGAGGTTATGTTGAGTGTGCAATTTTCTAATTCAAACCATGTTGTAATCTCTAAAGTACAATCGAATTTTTCCAACAAAAAATGGGCAGTGATGATAAAAGTTCAAAATCAAGCATCTTACTTATTGCCTAACCCTGTCAGCTCCCACAGTTCACTGAATGCTATAAAAACTATACAGATTTTAGTTAATTTCTCGCTCCAGGACCAACTTCTCAGTAAGCACTAGCTATCACTATTGATGATGGCCGAAGCAAGCTCTCCGCGGTTGGCTATCCCTGTGGTAGTTATAGGCCCACAGTTCTGCACTCCTTCTCCGGTAGATCTGATAATAGTCAAGAAGCCCGTGACCATATCAGAAGGCAACTTGGGGGTCACCGATGTCAAGGGGAAAACCATGTTCTACCTCAAAGGCAAGCTCTTGAGCGTTCCTGACCGCCGTGTCTTGCTTTATGCTAAAGGCAACCCTATCGTCTCACTCCGGCAAAAGGTTTTTCCTTACAAACTTATTTCTCTATGGTTAATGCGTGATATGTAGAGTAATGTTACTCCCTACTTGTTTCAGATATTGACAGCACACAGGAGGTGGCAAGTGTTCAGGGGAGATAGCTCAGACTCCAAAGATTTGCTATTCAGTGCCATGAAGTCTTCGCTCATCCAGTTCAAAACCGAGTTAGATGTTTTCTTAGCCACAAACAAAAAAGAACATGTCTGTGATTTCAAAGTGAAAGGCAACTGGTTGGAGAGATCATGCATCATATCTACTGGAGTTCAACTATCATTGCTCAGGTACAAATCATGTGGGTTATGCGCAAGGTTTGATGTAAATAGTCTTACTTTCCATGCGGAGATCCTATTGTTTCCCTCATGGTCATAGCTAAGGCACACTTTAAGTTTTTTCAGTCATTAAATCATAATTTGGTCTAATATTNCATCCATACCAAAATTAAAATATTTATAAAGAATATACCAAAGAGTTTCTAAATTTTAAATTCATAATATTTTAATTTATAATTCGTGTCTATTATTATTTACGCTATCTTTGAGTTCAATTTTTTTTGGGTGAACTAAGGCCAACAAGCACATGTCCAACCAAACCTAGGGGGATAACCCACTAAAAGCTCAACGGATCATTCCTGCACCTCCACCAATCAATGGCCCAAAACCCGGCACCTCGGCCTAGCTGTTTGGCCAGCCCGTCCGTTAGCGACCTTGGGCTTTTGACGCTGACCCAGTGGCCGGAAGATAAAGTTAACACAGCCATTGATTCCCCCACTTACTATCACCTTCACCCCAACCCCACCACCTTTCCAACCGATAATACTGATCACAATTCACCTTAAAAATATCCAATTTCTCCACGAAGAGAGAGAAGCTCATTCTCTATATATCTCTGTCTCTCACGAACCCTCTTGATACCATCGATCGTATTCATCATGGCTGCTCCGAGTTACCCTCCAATGGCTAACCCCGTGGCCTTAATAAACCCACAATTCTGTGCTCCTTACCCTGTGGATCTGATCATTGTGAGGAAGCTCTTGACTTTATCGGAAGGAAATTTCACCGTCACCGATGTTAACGGAAACGTCATGTTCAAAATGAAAGGCAAACTCTTTAGTCTTCGTGACCGCCGTGTCTTGCTTGATGCTGCTGATAACCCCATCGTCTCCTTCCAACAGAAGGTTTGTGCTATTCTACAATTACCACTGTTCTTGCCCAGTTTTTTTTCTCTGGCGAACATGTTTCTTATGTGTTTGTGTTTGTCTCTGTGTGTGTGCGTGAATTTTGCTCCTGCAACTTATTTAGTCTGTGTCTACATTGGGTTATTTCTACGATCAAGATGTGGGAAATATGATTTATTGTGTGCCAAATAGCAAATGTTTGCATTGATTGAGGATCTCATTGATAATCTATCTTCACAGTCTATATTTCAATTACCCGCCATGTATATGCATGGGCGGAGCTACCATTGGGCTGGTGGGGGCATATGCCCACCCTCAAATTTTTTTTCTTAACATTAGCTATGTATTTTTTTAAATAAAATTGAAGTATATTTAATTGTGCCCACCCAATTACTGTGTTCTTGTGATATAGATTAGGATAAAAAATTCATACTTAAATGATTACTAACTTTTGATCAATGCTATTAGAACCTAATTTCAATACCTAATATATTGTGATATTAAGTCTAATTAATAGGGACTCTCAATATTTAATAAAATCCAATAAATAAAATATTGTTACCATGATTTTATATATAAAAAAAAATATTTATTGATGGCATTGATTTGTAACATTTTCAAAAGATAACAAAATTATCAGAGTCAATTATAAATGATAATAATTAGTTTCATTTTTGGTACCAAATTATAATTAATTTCTTTTTTATTTCTTGTGTAAATGCAATGTAGATCAATTTATAATTTTTTGTGTTTAATAAACTTTAAATTTTTTAAATATAATTTAAACAAATATAAATTTATAAACTTCTATGGCTCTGATAAAAAATAAAAAAACTTCTTTGCTCCGCCCCTATGTACATGTGAGCCCCATCGATCAAGATGATGTCAACTGGTGTTTACTGTAGATTATCAGTGGCGAATAGGGGATGGGGGATCATGTTATGCGTTGTAATATCTAACTATTTATGTCAAATCAGATATGGACTGCACATAGGAGATGGCAAGTTCTCAGGGGAGATAGCTCAGACTCAAAAGATCTGCTTTTCAGTGTTAAGAAATCTTCACTGATACAGTTTAAGACCAAGTTAGATGTGTTCTTAGCCTCTAACACAAAAGAAGATGTTTGTGACTTCAAAATTGAAGGTAGCTGGTTCGAGAGATCATGTGCTATATATGCTGGAGATTCTTCTACTATAATTGCTCAGGTATCTTGCAATCCTGTTTCAGCTTCAAGAATGAGAAAACCCTTATCTGTTTAGGCATTTTCATGCTGTTTTAATATATTTATTTTTTGACCTGAGTTGCCCAAGTCCTTGATGATGATATTGCAGATGCACAGGAAGCACACAGCTAGTAGTATTCTGCTGGGCAAAGATACATTTTCTGTGACTGTATATCCACACATTGATTATGCCTTCATAGCTGCTCTGGTGGTGATTCTGGAGGAAATCAATGAGGACAGAGATGGAAGTGACTGAAATCACCTTAAGTTTGTATAAATGGTTTCCCTTTCAAGTTAGTAATAAAATCATGTACTGTTGGAGACCTACCTTAAGAATATTATCTATGTAGGGGGGTACTTGAATTCCGGATGTAATGTGGTTGTCTCTACAATCTTATGATCCTGGAACTTGTAGAGGTCAGCAAAAGACCTTTTTTTTTGTTTTTTTTTATGTATGTATCCATTTGCTTATGCATGAATAAAAATGTTTAAATAACTTTCGGATTGTTTTTTGTTTTATTTCAGTTTATGAAGACAAAAGTAAGAATCACATGACCATCATTTAATCTAATAATCTGGTGAAAGTTAAAAACTAGAACTATTATTCACCTCGACTTTAACCTTGTAGCCATTAAATTGAAATTAATCAGACTGGCATCTCATGGATGACAGCATTATTTGGGTTTTGGATAATCTTGAGCTAGTGGTTGCTATGATATTATGGTGTAAAATCATCTACTCTAAAAGATTAAGTTGTAAGCGATATTAAAGTTTAAGTATCTATACTTCAATAATTACCACACATAAAAAAAACCATCAATAATTGATACTTAGGTACATTCCTCAACCATTTCTACAAATGGGGGAGGGAGTGGACATGTAAGCAATATCTGGTCAATGATGCCAAATGTTATACAAAAAACCATCTTAATGTCTAGTAATGAATGGTTGATCCGGTCTAAACAAGAAGGGAGGGGGGAGGGATTTGAGTTGAACAAGTTACCAATTATTTTATTATAGTAAGCCTTTCAAAACCACAAAAAAATTAGACAAATAGGAATGTAAATAATATGAAGGCAATTAGGACGGCTATAAGAAAATGGTGCTTTCTAGGGATGGATAATTCTAACAATTTGCTCAACTTAGTCCATTAATTGAGGCTTAGTCAATGTACCATCAAGTCTGCCCTCTCCAATCTAATTCATGGGTTAGGTTCCTTAGTTCCTTGTAGTAATTCTTCACTCAGTTCTATTCTCTGTTTCAGATCTTAGTCCGGTCTTTACATGATTGGCCAATGGATGTGTTTCGTGGAAGATTGACAGGACATATAAAAAACCAGTGTCCTACGATCGGTCAAAGTCATTTTTTTCCTTCGACTATGAGTAATTGAGTTCTACAACAGAATTTAAATTCTTACCCAAATTCAGCAAAAAATTTCTCAACAAAATTTCATAAGTTAAACCTTAAAAGAACTAATTTTTCTACAAATATTATGCTCTCCTTATGAGGTGGGACTGCTGGGTCCTTAACTTTGCATTGTGAAAATGGATGGATGAACTAACCTCCGAATTCTTTTCAATTTGTATACTAGCATGTGCTCGCACGTGTCTTAATCTTGACCCTGTCCCTTGTTGATTTTGTCATTATCATTCTTCCTGATCAACTCCTATTGAAATACATGCTTGAACAATTCTAACAAACATTTAAATATCAATTGTTTCAAACGTGGATGAGTTATATAAGAATCTTACTACAAAGTACTCCAAACAAAGTCTCAAAAACAAAAGGGTCCATAGCTCTTCTTCTCTCTGTCTTGATCATCATGGCACAGCCAAGCTACATTCCTTTAACTAATCTTGTTTCAGTGATAGGTCCTCATTATTGTGTTCCTTATCCGATTGATCTAGCAATCACTAGAAAACTTCTGGCCCTCACTGATGGTAACTTTGTAGTTACAGATGTTAATGGAAACATCATGTTTAAAGTAAAAGTTCGCATAACATTTCTTCGTGAACGCCAATTGCTTACTGATGCAGCTGGGAATCCCATTGTTACCCTACGACCGAAGGTTTGCTTGATGATATAGCATACACTGTATTGAATTTGTAATTTGTATACAATTTTTTGACAAGCCAATTTTTTATGCTTATATTTGGTGCTCAGTTGAGTATAAATTGCTCTCCATGCATTGTTCTAGATATATAATCCCCCCGTCTTCCCCAATCCCTAAAAGTCCATCCGGGGCGGGGGGGTTAATTACTGGTTTTTTTGCACCTAACCACAAAATCAGATTTAGATGAGCAGAAAAATCTAGTTGTATCAAAGGGATTAAAGAAAGAAAAAGACCAATCAAACCGCGCCCAGACAATTATCTGAATGTTAGAATATCTGGCATTAAGTCTTGCCTTCTTATTTCACTATGGTGGACAACTTCAATTTATTTTGGTTGTGCAGATTATGAGCGCACACAGCAGGTGGCAAGTCTTTAGGGGGAATAGCAAAGACCCTGCAGATCTGCTCTTTACTGCTAAAACATCTTCAATTTTCCAACTGAGGACCAGATTGAATGTGTACTTAGCACATAACACGACAGAGGAGGTGTGTGATTTCAAGGTCGAAGGAAGCTGGCTTGAGAGATCTTGTGTCATTTATGCTGGAGATTCTTCGACGGTTGTTGCCCAAGTAAGATCATGAACAGAAGGATTTGTTGTTTCATAAAATTATAATCACTTATAGTTCAGTTCATGAAATGAACAAATCATTGATGCCATATGGTGTGGCAATGTGATCATGGGGACATATTCGAATTGTGCAAATTATGGAGAAACTGTACAAATAATAACTAGACTTAATTGATCATTGTGGAACTGCAGATGCATCAAAGATACTCCGCTGAAAGCATCTTGCTTGGAAAGGACAAGTTCATGGTGACTGTGTATCCTAACATTGATTATGCCTTCATTGTCTCCCTCATCGTGATTCTTGACGATATCAACAGTGAGGACGGTAGTTGATTCGGCCCGTAAGTCAGGTCCCTTGCTGCTAGAACACTAGTACTTAAACCCACTTTTTACTGTGTGTTCTTATTCGGTTCTAAGTTACAGTTACTTCTTATCTTTGTTTATTAATACTTTGTATACTTCAGTATTTTTCCCTGGTACTGTTAGATTACATTTCAGAAAGTTGTTGTATGTGCTTATGACTTTTAATATACCTTGATGCTGCTTGANATATATATATATATATATAACGGGTAATGGGAGCGGGGATAAGGGTAAGTCCATCCCCGCCTTCATTTCCTATACGGGTTTGTACGGGTATCCTCGTATACGTCCACCGTCCAATATATATAGTCCATTCTCAGTCCAAACGGGACAGATTTGAACAAATACCTGTTTTTCCTCGATCCACTGACATCCCTAGTCACATAACTTTTGTGTTTTTGATGACGTAATTTACAGTTGCTCCATCTATTTAATTTGAAGAAACTGTGTTGTTGTTTGGAATATAATTTAGGTATTTATGCATATTACTAATTGTAACGATCAATGTTTGGTGGAATGCTATGATGCAGATAAGGTTATAGTACTGGAATTTAATTTTTGGGTACCATAGTTTAACTCAATAAGGTGCTCTGGCTACCAAGCAGAAGGTGAATATATGTGTGTGAGCAACACCTCCCATGGCTTAACCAAGACCAAGTAATGTGCTCGTATACTTAAAAGGTTTTGTTGATCTTGGTTGGAATGTGATTGGTTGTGGTCAGTGCATCAAGAGCAGTTTTGTGGCAGGCAGCCCTTGGTTTTTGGCTTGAGATGGTGCCACCATCACTATCAGAGTATGAACAAGAGAAGCCACAGAAATCCCACAAGAGAAATCCCAAAAGTTTAAAGGCCAATAACTGAAGAAGTTGCTTTCGCAGTAATGGAGACTGATAGTGTGCCCACTGAACTTTATCTCACCAGGGACCATTATGGTCGGTAGGGGTGGAGCCGGACCATTTCTTTTGTGGGGCAATATAAAATTTTTTAATAACTTTAAATATTTTTTTAAAAAATTTTATCTCTGCTAATTCTAAAATCAATTCGATAGTTAGACCCTAACTCAATACCCATTATTATGTTTTTAACAAATAAATTACAAGAAAACTATAAATAACAAAATAAATAGAGAAATTTTAATAGCAGTAATTTAGAAAAATTAATTCTATTACAACTCTATTAAATCGAACTTAGATATAGGAACATTCAGAGCTATAATAATCAAATTCTTCAATTCCAATTAATCAAAATAACTTAACCCAAAATATAATGCTTAACAACCAAATTATATATAGAGCAATCCAATTAAATATAAAAAATTCAAACCCCAATTTTAATTCCAACATCTAAAAATAACAAAGAGGGGACTAACTGCTTTTAAATCATAATAACATAAACTTCAACCACATATTTAATTCACAAACAGATGACTGCTACACATCGAAATCATCGATAAATTTATTCCACAAAACCAAACTCCTTTATACCCTCACCACCGTCTAATATCCAAAGAATTAAAAACTACAACTAATATTCCGAAGAGATCAAAAATCAATTGTTTGAATCGTCATTGTTCAATTCAAATATAGATAATTGCAGTTCTGTCATCTATTGTTAGGTAAAAAATGAAATGGGTAAAAAAAAAAAACAAAATGAGTAGAAGCACTTAACGTCTTGCCAAAAAATACAAAAATTTTGAAATCAAAGAAATTGTGTATGAGTTACCTCTTGCACGATATCTATCATAGAATTTTCTAAACTCTCAACAACATTTATAATTGACTGGTTAAATAACAATCGAATTGATAACAAAAAAAGGGACGACTGAAGACAAAAAAAACATAAAAAGAGAACAAAGGTACACTACAGAGAGCAAAAGTCGGTTGAAGAGAGAACTTTCAATTCACAACAGGAAAGACATGAGGGGCCAAAGAAAGAAAATAAAGAAGTCTGAAGAGATGAATGAAAAGTCGGGACCAGGAGGCAAGAAGTGTTCTCCTAATCTAATGTTATATTTATGAAACACACCCACATGTTTTCCTAATACATAGAACTATACCTATAACTTTTCAGTGAGGGTAATTTGTAAAAATATTCAAAATTTTTAAAAAATTGATTAAATCCAACTACGCTAACATTATCAAATTGAGAAACTGAATACATAAAATTTGAGTCCTCTAAAAACACAACTATATAAAATTATTATCACTAATACCACCATTACCATTTAGCCTAAATTTTGATAACTAATCAAATTTTGTGCTCAAATTAAAATTAAATCTAACCAAGTCAACTATTTAAATTAATTTTGCTATTCAATGCAACCAAATTTTATGTTGCACAAATTTGTCTCAAGAGCTTTACCCCACCACCACTCATCCATCACAATTTCAAGATTAACTATCATCACTAAGACCACTATCATTATCACTTTCAAACTAAAAACATATCTTCAGCAGCCATCGATACTGCTTCGTGAAAGCGAGCTTACTTTTAACTACAATTCAAGCCAAATAATGTATCAAATTGGCAACAAAACAAATGAACTATAAGATATATTGACAACAAATCAAGTTGAATTTCAATATATTGCAGGAATAGTGTATAACTTGCAAAATTTATGAATATACACAAAGCATTAGAATGAAGTCAAGATTTGAAATTTCTTAAAAACATAGACATTACAACCTAAATAACTTTGAATAGCAATACAAAGAACTTATTAAACATTGTGCATACACCTCACAGTGGTTCTTGTCATTTTTGCTTTCATTTGATGCAAACCATTCCCAAATGTGCCAAAAAAATAAAAGGCATGACTCTTGAACAAAAAGGCTCCTTGGTTCTTTTGGACTTTGGACAAAACAAACACCAGAAATAGATGAACTCATCTTTGTTCACAAAGGACCACTTAGCCTGAACCAATTTTATGTCCTCATATCCTAGAACGTACAAAAAAATATTATAAATAACCTAAAAATATGTAAAACTAAAAAAAAAATAACAAACCCAAACCAACAAAATAATTTTTTCGGAGATCATCGTCCCGCTGGAGTTGTGCCATTGCTGATCACTGGAGCTGCGCCATCGTGCTATAGATGGTCGCTACAACAGACAAAGTAAGTTCGCTAAAAAATAAGGAAAATGTTGGCCTGCTCATTGAAGCAATAATACAAATACTTGGTGTTTCGGTGACTGTGGTGGATTTCGGTAGCAATGTGTGCATGTGAGGGGTGGGGAGGCGTTTGCTGGGTAGGGGGGTTTCGATGGCAATAGTGGGGTGGAAAGGGGTTGAAGGTACTGGTTGGCTACAAATAAGAGTTTGGCTTTGGAGATATAGGGTGTTTGGTGGGCTGTTTATGAGTTTCGGTGGCAGAGGAGAGAGGGAAGGAAAGGGTGATTGTGGTAAGGGGAGACATACGCACAGAGAGAGAGAGAGAGAGAGGGGAGGGATACTTGGGTGAGGCTTCAAGATTGTCGATGGTTGATCATTGTACCTTCGATGGTGCCTCTATAGTGTTGCTGTGAAGAAAGAGAGTTTTGGTGAGGAGAGAAAAAGAGAGAAGAGAAAGGGGCGACGATGGCTATTCGTTGGGGGAAAAGATTGAGAGGAAGAACAAAGAGAGAAAGAGAGGGAGGCAAAGGAGAAAAGTGATATCAAAAATAATTGGGTGAAAAGATCGAGATAGATGCAGGTGATAAAGGAAAGTAAAGTAAATAATATAGTATCATCATTATATTGATATTCTCAATCTATAATGTGAAAAAGTGATTTCTCTGATATGAAAATTATTTAGAGCAGTATGAGCGAGGGTCAAAATTTAAATGTGGACATTAATTTTAGAATTTGACAGAATTTTAGATTTAGATGACATTGATTTTGGACGAGATTAAAAGGTGAATTTAATGTAGAGGTGTCAATTTTGAAAACTAAAAATTTTGAGAGGCAAAAATATTTCAATAGTTAATGTAGTGCATTGGATCAAAATAATTTGAGACGTCAATAGCTTGAGATAGTTTGGGATAGTGTTATCCATAGGATGATGTCTTTTTTGGTCACGAAACAATCTGGGCCCCTCTTTGTCTCTTGGATTTAAAATCGTTCTACTTTATATATATGCTAGCAACTGTCCGTGCCTGAAGGTACAGTGTTACTCATAAATTAGTTACAAATATTTGTTCTTTTATAAATGTAAAGTAAAATACAACATTGTAGTAAACGACGAACAAAATAAGTCCGCTAATATTTTTTATAACATCAACCTACATGCATAGTATATATTTTCACATTAAATTGTTACGCTACGAAAATTATGTTATAACTACTTCTGAAAAAATATATCAGTTGACAATATTCAATGTTCTGTTTTTATTCAAAATCCACGATTTTAACATTCATTATCAACTTTATCTAAATAATAACAGAATTCATAACTAATAGAATGAAAATTAAAATAATACTCCCACAAATAAACCAAGTCTGCAGATGTTGTCAAATGACCAAATATAACTATAAAAAATTCAATCGACTTCCAAAAGATACGACCTGACTATTGAATTTGTATGATTCGAGTTTATAGTAGAGCTTTTAATTTTATATCATTATTCTCGGTTATTTATATTCTTAGTATATTTTCTTAAACTAAACATTATTTATTATTGGATTATTTAGTAAAAAAGATTGTTGCTTCGTGTTGTTCACTTAATATTGAATTTGCATAATTCGTATTCAACGTATTTCTTATAATTTTGTATCATTTCTCTCGTTTGTAATTTTGTATCATTTTTCTTTGGTATTTAAATTTGGATTATTTAGTAAATATTGTTACTTCGTATTGTTCACTAAATATTGAATTTGTAGAATTCGTGTTTGTATATGAATTTAATCTTGTATATTTTAAATGTTATACATATTTTCTTTAATATATCTCTTGATATCTGAGTTGCCCAATAATTTGAATTTAATCTTATAT